TGGAAGTATTTGGCATAATTTTGGTAATTGTAGGATATATATGTCCTCCTACATGTACCACTCAAATTGATATCATTGTTAGACACAAACGTTGACCTTGGCCACACTCTGCTGTGTCCCTGGCTCCTGATGTACAGCTCTCACTGGCCGCTCATAGATAGTTCCCTGGGCAGGTGTTATTGCTTGGATACACTCCCTTAACTTGACCCAACTTGTTTGTTTTGTTCATGTGTGTTTTTTGAAATCCTTACCTGAGGATTTTTTTTTTATTGATAGAAGAGAGGGCGGAGGGGGAGAAAGTGAGAGAGAAACATCGATGTGCGAGAGGCACATGGTTGATTGCCTCCCCTATGGGCCCCAGTTGGGTCCAGGGATCGAAACAGCAACTGTGGCATGTTCCCTTGACCAGGAATTGAAGCCATGACCCTTTGGTCTGAGGGCCGATGCTCTAACCACTGAAAAATTGGCCAGGGCTCATGTGTTTATTTTTAACTTGCTAGAGTCGAAGGCAATGCAGGCATAACTTAGGCAAGTTTCTGGTAAATTATTTTTTAGTTAAAATTATTTTTTTAGAATATTATTTTTATGAAGAACAGTTGAAGAAAACAAAATATATTTAAAAATGTAATTCAGAAGGCATAGTAGTTTATATTCGGAGGTTTTTTAAAGAGGTGGTTCACACTCATATTTCACTTCAGTATTTATTGGCTCACTACTGTGTTCAGGAAAGTTGTGGTAGAGGCTATAATAGTAACATAGATGCTATTCATGTTCTTCCAGAGTTTAACGCCAAGTAGACGAGGCAGATAATGAAAAAATAATAATTAAAGTGTAGTAACAGTTAGGAGAAGGGAATTACAGTAAATACAATTCACACCAAGGACACTAACTTCCTGATGAAAGACTTCCTGGAGAAAGGGACTTCTGAGCTGTGGTCTAAAAGGTGAGAAGCCAACAAGACAGATCAAGAATTGAAAAAAGCAGGGGGGACAACTTCTGCACAGGCATGGAGCAGGGGTGGTGGGTCTATGGCAATGATTTCAATTACCCCAGGGAAGTGGTAGAGGCAGTCTAAACAGGTACATAGCAACAGAAATTCCCGAGGAATAAAGTAGATTGGTGTGTTTAGAGATCTGCAGGTGACTTGGTACCATAATAAAGTATATCAAAATAATGGTATATATTTTAATAGTTTTATGAAGTCATACATGAATAAACAAAGTAACAATCAGAATTTTATTTTTTTCAGAAATTTATTTTAAATAAAGAGATTGATTTGGTTAAAACTACACATTTCTTATTCTGAAATTCATGTGTCAGGGGAATGGAGTTAAAACAAAATAAATCAGTACACACTTAACGGTTGTAGAAGTTCTATGTGCTAAGAGATTCCTTAAAATCAACATTGTGTGGAACACACACAGAATTGGTCTTTGATGATTACTTTGTGTAGAGTCTGCATTTATCAAATTCTCTTTTTGAAGAAGAAAGTTTCCTACTTTTTTAACTTTTGTTTACTTGGATGGGATCACTGGCATGGACATTACAAATAAATAATATAAAACCTTCAATTTCAAACTTCAACTTCATTTATCAAATTCTCTTTTTGAAGAAGAAAGTTTCCTACTTTTTGAACTTTTGTTTACTTGGATGGCATGGACATTACAAATAATTAATATAAAACCTTCAATTTCAAACTTCAACTT